TCTCTTCTTTCCCGCCTTATTTTCCACCCTCTTTGTCAGTCTAAATGATCCCATCTGCCTTCCCACCCCCCTCCTATGCCCTCCCCATGTCCTCGATTTGTGTCCTGCATCCCCTTCATATCTGTCCTGTATCTCCTCCTATATCTCCATAATGTCTCTCTTCCATGTCAGGCCCTCCTTCCAGGGGCATAGGAACCGGGGGGCGTCTTCCACCGCCAAATTAGTAGACCTTTGCATTTAAATTATTAAGTTTTGTCCACCCAATGTCAAACTTCTCCTGTGCCCTTGCCTCCATTCCATGTCTCTATGACATTATTGTCCCCTAGTCTCTGTGACATCTACGTCCCCTGTCTCCATCTCTCGTCTCTTAACCTCACCCCTCCATCTCCTCTCTCTCTCTGACATGCCTGCTCTCCATCCCTGCCATGGACAGGACAGTCGCCCATATCCCTTCATCAACACGCAGTTGGACACCGCCGAGCGGCTGCAGGAGATGCTGGAGGGCCGCGTGGGGGCGCTGGGCCGCAGGGTGGGGGAGCTGGTGGGACTCATGGTGCTGCGCCTGGCCCACGACCACATCCTGCCGCTGGACGTCACCTGCTACAGCGGCGCCGTGCTCAACTTCGGCTCCCAGCTCAACAAGTTCTCCCCAGAGCTGCAGGTGAGCAGGCACACGTCTGAGGGGTTGAGAGGTCGGCCGGGGAGTGGTGGGACACCGCAGCTCATGCCCCCTCCGCACCTCCACAGGCCCGAGGCCTCTCCCTGCAGTGGGTGTTCAGTGCTCGTGGGGATTATAACCGAGCAGCGGAGACACTGCGAGAGACCATCCAGAACAGCGACATTCATGATGAGCGGATGGCCCGCCTGTACAACACGCGCATCATGCGGGTGAGCTGAAGGCCGCCATTTTGAAATCACATGATTTAGGGTGTTTCTCAATACCAAGAACACAAAGATCGTACTTGTGATCATGGCAAGCCTGGTCTTGCTAACTTGCTATCCAAGAACGAACTTGAGGAGAAATGGATGATGAGATTGGTCTCATTTGGCAAGGATGCAACCGATGTATCCTTCATATTTGGGGCGGAGCAAGAATGACATCCAGGGATTTTTACTGTCCTCTGTATTGCTCTTGAGTATGGGAACTGATCTTCGGCGAAAGAAGATGATGTCGAATGGGTACATGAGAACACAAGTACGGTCAAGTACGCATATTGAAAAACACCCTTATAATCTTCATGTGACAAATCTTGTGTCTGTGTGTGTCATCACAGGCCTGGTGCTTTAACGGTGTGGTCGGGTGGGCGGGGCTTACGGGTCCATGCAGGTGGAGTACTACTTCCTGTCCCAGTATGTGTCGGCGGTGGAGACCCCATTTCGGCACGTCCTGCACGGCCGGGGCGAGCACACGGTCAGCGCACTCACTGAGCACCTGTCCTTGCTGCGCTCTGAGCCGCTGCGCTTCGACGAGGCGCACTTCCGGCGCCAGCTGGCCCTGCTCACCTGGACGCTGCAGGGAGCCGCTAATGCGCTCAGTGGCGACGTGTGGAACATCGACAACAGCTTCTAGGCCCCGAACCACCGACTGACAGACACACCGACTGACGGACACACCGGCTGACAGACACACCGACTGACGGACACACTGACTGACGGACACACCGACTGACGGACACAGTGACTGACAGACTCATCATCTGACAAATGCACCGACTGACAGACGCACCGACTGACAGACAAACTGACTGACGGACACACTGACTGACGGACACACTGACTGACAGACGCACCATCTAACAGACACACTTATTGACAGACGCACCGTCTAACAGACACACTGACTGATAGACACACCGACTGATGGACACACTGACTGATAGACACACTGCTATACACACTCTGACGTACATACATTCACATCGATATCACATAAACACACACACACACACACACACACAGACTGACCAACACTCACACTATCTGTTATAAACACTCTACCACCGGACAGCTAAACTCACTGACAGTCTAAAAATGCTGGTCTCAATTTGTATAGATTTCCTAGACACTAAGGCCCATATACCATGTAGATGTACTTCAGATTTTCTTTGGGACTCATTGGTCAATAGGACATTGTGTTTGCTTAGTAATTTGTACTGGTTACTCACCCAGTGCTCCGGGCTTACATGCACTGCATTCATCCTCTGAGATCCAGAGATGTTACGCTGGCTAACCTCACTATGAAGAAGAAGTAGAGAAGCGTTTTTGTATTACAAACAGCTCACAAAGTCTACAGAAGCTACAAGCTGCACAATGTTTTTCTCTGATTAGTTATGACAGGTGTACTGGGAATGTGACCTCAGGGACTGGTCTTCTCAATGATTGGTCAAATCAGTGACTAATCACGGAAGTGAATGATCATCTCTTGTTATTGATTCATCACCTGAGGGACGTGTCATCTTGCGGACTGGGAAACTCTAACCTCAGGAACTTTGAGAAACATCTAGAAGGAAAGTCTATCCCTCCAATCAGATCTACACTTGCCATTCCTGGCAAGGTGAATTCACTGGGAGATCATTAATATTAATTCATTTTCTTAATTAATATTAATTAGTACAAACCTATTAATATTGCTAACCTAAACTAATTAATATTAATTAGTCTGAACTAAGTCTTTTGCAAATGATCAAAACTCAGTAGAAAGGAAAGATTCCCTATCTTATCTCCACTGAACTTAAAAAAGGACTTAAGAAAGGACTAGTAATCCATACTCAGCATTTCTGACAGTACTTGTAACCTCTTTAATTCAGATGTTTATGATGAGATGTTCTGGTGACCAGTTGGTGACACAAACAATTTGAGTGTCACAAGCGAGGCCCTGGTGTTTGTGTGGCCCCTACTCTGAATTGGGGTTTTGTATACAGTGTATACTGTATGGTTCTCTGCTTAGATTGTTTACACTCTATCCTCTTCGTCTCTTTGTCCGGTAAGGGCAGGCGCTAATTAAGCATTAATTTATCAGTGACAGTGATCGCCACTAATTCTTTTTTTTTATTGCCAAGAGATAATGAGTCTTTAGCAATGTAAGCAGTAATTATCGGAAGCAGTGCCTTCCATAATTATGACAGTCATACTGTCGCCCAATCAAAAAGCAGCATCTGCTATCAATGAGCCCAGGTGGTTATGGGGCAGGAAGTGGTCATGCGGTGATGTTATATAAACAGGCAGAAGATCACGGCTCTACACTGACTCCAGACTATAGGTGGTGCTGGTGAACTCATGCATAGGCATCTGTTCGGTTCATGTACAGAGTCACGATTGGAGACGCTTATGGTGGTATCATTGACGTTGGGTGTTTAAGCTGGTCCTTCTGCTCTCCACTGCACTGTACCTCACTTACTGACCTGAGGCCACTGGGTGCCACCTTTTCAGGGTTATTGGAAACCAGTCACAGCCATTCGAGTCTGAGTGCATATCCGAGTACTTAATTGAGACAGGCAGTCGTTCCCTTTCTTTACTAAGACAATGGAGAAATATTCAGTGCCATCTTAAAACAAAAGTTCTTGACATTTTGGAAGAAATCATATGAAAATGTATGCAGGCTGTCATCTAATGGTCTGATGTTACACAGAAAGTGTATGTAGACAGCAGGACTCTTTTTGTTACAGTAAAATAACCTAATTAAAGCAGTTAAATGTGAACGGTGCCCTCCGCCCTCCTGGCTCAGGTGGGACTGTCTCCTGTAGGGGGGGGCTGTAGACATTTCTGTGTGACTGCTTCTGCTGTTCTGCCCCCCTTTCAGTGCACTCTGCTGTCAGACAGCTTCCAATAAACCTCTTCCTGAATTTATGCTGCTATTTACATATCATTATTTATTCTGCAAATTGTTGATTCAGGTTGCTACTCTGTCCTGTCCCAGGAGAGCTGGATCACACATTTACAAGATTTCTTAGGCTTTTAAAACAGGAACCATTGACACATTTGCAGGAAGAGCTACAGTCAAATATTTGTGTAGTCCATAGTAATTCCAGTCCTTAGTATCTCCATTTATTAAACATTACACTCTTTTACATGGCGTTTGCATCATGTGTCCCATTCAGTGTTGTGTTATATGTTATCTTGTTTTAATTTTAATGTATGGATAATTTGCCCGATCCACATGTCACTTCTGTATGTTCTTGTATGAGGCCTCCAGTTACCATGCACACATTTTGACAAATCTTTATTTAAATATCACTGAAAACGACATCATAGCAAAACATCCAAGAGACCAATCATAAGTTACGCAATCAAGTCAGCCCTGTTATTTCGAACTGCAACGATGCTAACATCAGTGTATAAACTTTTTATCAAAATACAGTACAGCGATTCTTTAACAAAGTCCCACCACAACATGTATTACCAACCACTACTGGCCATCACACAGAAAATACTGGCTCTCCGAAGGTTTCTATCCACAGTTTCCAATATCCATATAGTCACTGATTTGTCCTATGCAAACTTTACTTAAGGTGCCACATGAGTTATTTTTCAATGCCAAATACCTGATTTTCCACGAACGATTCAAACACTGAAAAGCAAGGTGACTTTAAGAAAAATAATAATTTCATATCAATTGACCTTTTTTGGAGCCAAACAAGTGTTCTTTCTCACACAATTCATTAAATCCAGAAAGATTATGCATAAGTTAGTTCTAGACCTGATAATAATAATATCCATAGTTCATTGTTAAAATGGATGGATATAAATGTTTAACATCTTTAAGCACCAATGAGAAACCCTTAATTTGGCCAGTGACTAACATGTACTACAGTGAAATACAGGTCAGATTGTGGGTAAGTATCTATGCTATCTGACTAACCTAGAAGTCTATAGGAACCAGTCCTGCTACTATGTCAAATCTGGTGCCACTTAAGAGGACCATAGTCATTGAGAAAGGCCTTTGCTCACAAGAGTTCTCTGAGATTGTCAGTTGACTAGTTCCCTGATGGTACACAAATTATTAAGCCCCGTACTCATTATATGCTAATTAAGTGGTGTCACACCCCAGGCCTCTTTTACAGCTGGTCTCAAGGAAATGATTAATGTCCCATTGTAGCATCTAGCACAGTATTCTACACACGACCGTGGAAGAGCTCTGCAAATCTGCCACTGTAAAGAACATGTAATGAGTAAAGGGCTTTATTGCACTCACAGTGTCTTTCACTAAAAACATCTTTTTGCTGGTTATAAAGCTCCTCGAATTGGTTGAAAATCTCACAATATAACACTGAAGTCAAACACGACGGAAAATAACCTCCACCCCCCCACCCCCCAATACAGGATTTGCAATAAGGAAGACAAAATTGGCACCGTTAGATGCTTCGCTCCCCCCCCCGGTGACACTAAGCTGGGTGTTTTGATAATGATGTTACTACCTACCAATCATTTGGCATCTTTGCAGGAAGATGGGGGTGTACAACTTTCAATCAAGCTGCTGTTCAGTTTTTCGGTTTTAGTGCCGCCTCCCCATCATTTCAAGTGAATGGTGCAACTAGAGTGGGTGATGATGCTACTATCAACACTGATCATGATCATCACCTGGTCCCCATATAGTGCAGTTATACAGTCCAGTGCAGTGTAGAGACACCAACGCAGTGCAATTTGTTTCTTTAGATCCATCCAGTGTGTCACTTCCTCCCTAAACGTGCCACACACAGCCGTCCGTTCCGTACTGCTACTTAACAGAGGAGGAAGAAAAAGCGAGCGACAGTCAAACTCACAGTGCCGTCGACGTGCGTCTTGCTGCAAGAAGAGCACTGGTCCAGTGCTGAGCAGTCAGTCCAGCCCAGTTAGCATGTAGCGGGCACATGGACCAGTCACCTTAAACCTTACAGATTGTCTTCATCTCAGCTGAGAAGTTTCTCAGATCTGAAGTCCCCAGGTGCAAAGACGCCTCAGAGTCTATCAGCTTTCGTCCCGTTTTCGGTCGTCTGGCTATCGGAAGCCCGAAAAGCATGTGACATCACAGCAGTATAGCCATCGCACTCCCCCTGCCGGCCCCAATCTGCAAACTTTGCTGCGTCGGTCACAATATATTTCCTTCCTTTCCTCTTGACATTTTACCGCAGTAAAGGCATGAAGTTTAACCGGTTTATGTCTGTCATTGAATCATGCAACTTAATGGTTGACCAGGTCTGAGTCGACATGTTGCCAGGTACGGAACTATTAAAGATGGTTGACAGCCTGAATGTGAAGGTATTAGTCCTGATGGATTTAAATCACAGGTGTGTAAGAGTGTCAGTGTGCATGTCAGTAAGCGCATCAGGTGATGACGCTCATCTGCGGGTCTTAGTGCTCGTTGGGCATGTGACGGATGGTGTGGAAGATCCAGTCCATCTTGGTGGTCCAGCCGCCATGGTGAGCGTCGTTCATCTGCTTGGTGAAGTACTCCAGTGCCTCCTGCTGGCTCTTCTCCAGTGCCAGCGTCTTGCGCAGGTAGGCGATGTCGTCGAAGCTCTGCAGCTCGGGCATGCCGCAGCCGAGCAGCAGCGAGAACAGGTTGATGAAGAGGCTGGCGTGCTGGCGGATGGCCAGGTAAGCTTTGTAGCACATCTCCTGGAACCTGCGGTCATGCGCGAGGAAAGGCAGCGTTACGCTCTGTCCACGGGCAGCATTATGTTCTCCTGCTCACAGACTCCTTCTAGGACTTACTGGTGTCTAAACAAAAGTAACTAAAACAAAGCAACATGTGATACAATCAATCAACGGGTCTCTTTCAATGATCCATCTTCCAGCCTCATTCGGTCCTGGCTCACGCAGAACCTGGAGCCTATCCCAGGAAACATGCGGCGCAAGGCAGGGGACGCATTACATGGGATGTCCCCTATTAACCAGTAAGAATAACTGTCCAGCAATTATCATTATAAAAACATATCCTGTAGGGCAAACATTATAAAGTTTTGAAAGTAGGGAGCAATTAATTCTATGGTCATGTAGATAGTTTATGTGGAATTTTGAAATTTGGTGAGAACATCGGCGATACCCCAGTGATCATGTCAAGAAATGTGTAACATCTTGGTCCGACACAGTGACGCATCCTTCATGCGAGGTGTGTCTTTGCACGCACCTTTCAAACTCTTTGGTCTTGGTGCACTCCTGCACGCCCTTGCTGATGACGATGAGGAAGTCCTGCGTGAGGACGAAGGGCACCCGCTCCCGCTTGTAGCCGAACTTCTTCTTCTTGTGGTCGAGGAAGTGGCCAAAGTCGATGTGGAACAGCTGGGGGGGGGGGTCGGGAATTGTTGGTTGAATATAAGAAAAACAAGGAGGATGCCGACGCCCCGGGTCAGGGCGAAGACCGGCGACAAGCGGTCCGTGTTCACTCATGGCTAATCTCTAAAAACATAAACCCCTCTTCTGCATGGATTAGACTTCCTGATGTTCTGGATGAAGCCAATCGGGCTGCATGTATGCCCTTCCTTCCAGGTTGTTAAACTCAAACTATGTTATTATGCGTTTAATTTTATTTAGCAGATGGTTTTATCCAAAGTCACATACATTTGAGAAAGCAGGGTCGGGCTGGGCAGCTGGGGCTTAAGGACCCAACAGTGAACTGATTCTGCTGACACCACACACTGCCCCCAAATGACCAATTTAGGTCATACCTGCCCATTCTCCTTAACCATGATGTTGCTGTTGTGTCTGTCCCCAATGCCCAGGATGAATGTGGCCACACAGTATCCGGCACAGGATCGAGTGAACAGGTCGATGGCTCGGTCATAGCTGCGGGAACCGGAGAACAAATCAGGATGGGGTGGGAGGGGCTACGGGTGGGGGGGATATAAAGCAGATGGGTGGGGGTGGGGTCACTGTGACAAGGTAATATAGCGGACTCACGCCTCGCCACGGTTCTTGTCCTTGATCCAGTGGTGCAAAGTGTTGCTGTTGAACTGCAGCGCCCCCTTGAGGCCGCCCTTGCACTGAATCTGCATGATGGTGTACGAGTTCTTCACCACCTCGATCAGGCCCACGCAGTCCCCGATGGACAGGCAGCCGTAAGGCAGCATCCTGCACAAGAGCGGAGTCTGGGCTGTGAGCATCCGCATGCGAGGAGAGAGATCCGGTGAGGGCGTGGAGTTTGAATGGCAAGAGGCCCAGTGGCGGACGCTAGTGTGCAAACTGGCATTACCTCAGGTCCAGCCCTTGGTTCTGCCAAATGTTCTCCATAATCTTGATAATCTGTAGAGTCAGCATGTCCTGCCGCAGATCTGAGGAGAACATGAACAAACGTTGACACCCAGAGGCAATCGCACAAGAACAGTGACAGATAAGGTTTAAAAGGGATAAGGACTAGGTAAAGGAGATGAGACAGTTTACCAGACCAGGTTAGTAAACTTCTACTGGTCATTCCTGGGCACTGGTGAAACGACTGAACTACTTCAGTAAAAATTAAACCACAATATCAAACCCCTCTTTTATATTTTCGGTTCTGGCTGTGGGAGAGAGCTCATGAATAATTTATTACATTAAAAAATAATGTGATGGAGTGCTTTGCATTTAAATCAGGATAAAAATGTCCTCAGAAAGAAACAGCTGATGTCTACCTGCTCATTGATCTCACTTGATATTGGAGTTTAAGTGACACTGACAGTTAGATTTCTCCATTTCTCACCTGAGTATCTTACAGTAAAATCTAGATCCTGTGGGAACTGTACAAATTTAATAGGTGGAAGTACCTTGCTCTAGAAATATTATTAAGACGTTACATACAGCTTGGTCTCCTTTACAGGATTCCATCAAAAATGACATTTGACATCCTGTCAGTAAAAAATTAACACACCATCACCGTTCTTGAAGATGACTTCATTGTTGGTGAACAGAAGCTCACTCATGATATCGGGGTTTTCCCAGTTCAGCCACAGGGGGCGCTTTGCCGATGACATAATCCGGCACTCTTCCAGCCTGGTGGGGATGAAAAAGTAGACAGAGGGATAAGAAAAGGACACAGATGGCGGGGAGCGAAGGAGGAAGGTCATGGAAATGTAAGAAAACGTGGTAGCAGGGAGGAGTCACTTGACTGACTGCTCAATTGTTATTAGTGCTGGAAAACAAAGTGTCGGCCATTTTAATGGAATAGACAGCTGTACTGACAGGCTGGGAGCCAGGATGACGTGAGCCCAGTCACTGTCAGTGCCGCAAGCGGAAGCGCAGGGCTATGGTATCTGAGGAAACACAGCTGGCATTCAGGGCTAGACGAACAGACTGAAAGACAGACAGGCAGATGGTTTCGGCGGTCAGACACAGCACCTGGGATTTCCCAGGTGGTGAACATACTCGAGTGGGGGGGTGGATTGCCCCGACAGTGCGTGTGAGCCAAGACGCCTTGTTGCCAGGGCTGAGGCTTCTGTCATACCAGTGAGGTCATACCTGAGGTTACCTAACTGGTGGACGGGGTTGAGAGGTGAGACGAAGCCTTGCAGTGCCTCCATATAGTCGGGGCGGGACATGTGCTCCACCAGGAACTTCATCTGCGTCTGAGGCAGCCAATTAACACACAGAATAGCTCACCATATGGTCAAATGATGTCAATGTGGCCCATGGCTGTGCCAATCAACAAGGGAGCTACAGGTATATGCCCAACACTGTATTGGCAAGAGTGTTTACAGGGGCAGGACAACAGGGGCACTGGTGGACTGTCTCCTGTCACTCATAAATTCAAAACATATTCCCTAATGATATGGCTGGCCCCTCTTATACCCTGCAGCTATGGTTGCTACAATGATATTGGAGTGGAAGCTATACCTTCTGTGTCTCATCCTTCTTCTCCTGCTTGAGGGTGTCAGTGAGATTGACCAGCTTCTCCATAGCCTCCACCTGCCTGTTGAGGTGCTTCAGGTACATCCCACACGCACGGCAGAAGGCCTCCAGCAGCAGGCCGAAGCGGCGGGACACCGTCTTGTTGTGCATCTCCGACCTGCCTCATTTGATACGTCGATCACCATCGTCACTGGCATTCTCTTGATGACGATCATCATCACCATCATCATTGTCTTCATCTTCATTACCATCATCACTATCATTGTCATCATCACCCATCATCATTATCATGATCAATGTGACTCACTTAAGATGCCAAAAGAAGAAGTGTCCGATCCTCTGATTGGTCAACGCTTTCTTGATGAGAAATCGAGCCAAAGGATTGTCCAAGTACATTTCGTACTTGAGTACCTGCAGAAACACAAACATTCCTGATCTATACTGTGGATGCACACTCATGTATGCATGCACACCTGTGTACAGGGAGCGTATGAGGGCACAGAGGTAGATCTCCGTTCTGTTACCTGGACCAGCTGCAGCAGATACTGGCTCAATTTGTCGTCCGTCAGGCCCTGCACGAGGCAGCGGAGAGCAAACTCCCGCACCATGGGGTCCGGAAAGTTACAGTCTAGCAGTTCCAGGGCGCTCTCCGGCTCCATGAGGGGCCAGTCACGCAGAAGGCAGTACATCTGGGGGGACAACATGCCGGAGTTACACACTGATTCCCACAGCGACAAGAAGAAGAGAAGGAAGTTCAAATTAAGGAAGCAGATGTGCCTATAAGGCTGGAACTAATGATGAGGAGGATGAGAAGACGACTCGTTCCCTAAGAGTTTTTCTGCTTCATTCTGTCACTTCTTGTCATACTGCCCCAAGCTTTGGTGTCTTTCTCCTTACCTGAGACACCTCGTCTCGTGAATTCCACTTTACCGAGAGGAGCAGCTTGGGGAGACTCTCAGCGATGTTGACGCAGTAATGTCTGAAAGCAGAGGGACGAGCGGGAGCTTATAGAGAGAACAGGGATGGAGATATACAGCAAGGTCTATGAAATCCAAAATCTAGTTCCGAGTTCTGGGTGATTCCATGACACCATTGTTCAGATAGGAGATAGATATACTTTGTTGGTCCTAAAGAGGTAATTTCATAGATACATGAACATCAGCCAAACAGAGACTTGAGCCCTGGACCCTCAGATTAAAAGTCTGATACTCTAACCAACTAGGCTCTCCGGGTTCTTGAAGAAACAGTGCTACCCGTGATCCCTCAATTTGCTTTGAAGTATTGTCAAGGAATCCCTTATGCTGTTTTCAGCAACAGGTGTCAGAGATACCCAACTAACACGCACGGAAAGCTCTAGTAGGCCAGGATGAGTTCATGCGAGGGAGACGTACCGGTGCCTCCACAGGAAGTCCTTCTCCTGCTCAGACAGCTCGTACAGCGGGTCTCGGCTGCAAAGGCTGAGCAGCTGTTCCACGTCCCCCTGCGACATGGTGTTGTCACATGCCAGTCGGCTGCTCTGTGGGTGAGGGTGGGACAGGAGGGGTTGTGGGCTCTTGTGTTGTCTTTCTGTCCCTCAAAGCACCCTCTTCTGCCCCCTCCCCTCTCACCAGCCCCATGGAGTAATTGTAGCCCAGCTCGCGGGAGATGGTCCAGTTGGCGTGTTCCTCGATTTGCTGCTCATCCGGGAAGATCACAGTCTGGTTAAACCAGGAGAACTCCAGCTCCACACAGGGGGTTTCCTGGGGGGGGGGGGCGCGAGTAGAGCAGGATGAAGTCAGGTTTAGGGAGAAATGTGGGCAAGGCCACACTTATTCACAGGCTAACCGGGGCCATAGCCCTGGGCCCTAAGTTGTTGGGGGCCCCAAAAGCAGCATTTTTTAGGAACCCAACAATGGCTTTAGTACCCATCCCCAAAACTCAGCCCTGAATGTAGGATAGATTTAGGATTCAAGATGTTTTTATTGGCCATCAAGTATATTAGAATGCTTAGTCCTTCAGCTACACCCAGAACAAAGAACAATGAACAGTATATAAATGCAAAATAATAAAAGGAACTACAGTGTTACCAGTAGAGCAAAACACTTCAGATATTACAGTTCACACAGAGGTGTGTAGAAGAGGTATAAATTAAAAGCTGAGGTCTGTATTTATGCACATTTCTCACCAGATTGTTAAAAGTAATTGCATATCTACATATTGAGGCATCAGTACTAGAAGCAGAGTTTCTGTCTTTTGTTTCACGTCATTTTTCACCTTGTTGGGGTTGGACCCAGCCACTCCAATGGGGTTGAGCAGGTCCTCCAGGCCGTGTGGCATGGGCCACAGGCTCAGGGCCACTTTGCCGCTCACCAGGGTGTTCCTGTAGTCAAACAGGTTCACGTTCCCCCAGGCCAAAGGGCAGTGCTCCTGCAAAACACACAAACACACGCGTCACATGTGCAGCGCTCTCCCACGCTTTGGTAATGCTGCGATCTAAGGTAACCTGGGATGTCTCGTACCTCTTTGGCTCCCTTACGACCTTTGACAGAGCAAATGGAGAGGCACAGTCGAGCCGACCGGGGTAGATCGGTCAGATATATGTCATAGGTCAGCCATTCATTCCACCTTAAAAAAACAGGAGTCCAAGTTCACTTGTTTTACATGAGTGGCTCATTCCACCTTGAAAACAGGAGTCTCAGTAAACATGTTTTACATTAGAAGCTCAGTCCACCTTAAACACAGGAGTAAACATGTTTTACATTAGAAGCTCAATCCACCTTAAATACAGGAGTAAACATATTTTACATTAACCTTTCATTTCACCTTCAAAGAGAAGAGTCACATTCTCAAAACAGTGACTCATTCTTCCTTCAGACACTGGAGTCACACTTTACTTATTTTAAATCTGTTATTCATTCTAACCTAAATGACAAATCCCAGTTAAAGGATTATTGCAACTCACAAGTACGTGAGCGTTAGTCTTGCATAAGACAGCTGCTCTTTCTGTGCTAAATCCTCTGGCCACAATCATCCGAAAGTCCATTTGGGGCTGTTGTCCAGTAACCAGAGAGGACCCCCTACATTTCTTCAGACAACATGTGACTTACTGGCTATTTCAGACTAGAGTGAAAATAGGGATTTGCATTGGGGATTGGCATTAAAGCACCGCTTATTGACATGTAGGTTTCATTGAAATGATACTTTATTTACATAATTACATTGGAATTCTTTTGTTATTTGATAGCAAAGCTTGGGCTCAGAGTATAGGGTCAGCTATTTATCCAGTGCCCCTGGAGCATTTTTTAGAATTAAGAGCCCAATGGCAATATGACTTTCCTGCCATCCGTGGGATTCGACCCAATGACCTTCTGAAAACAAACACAGGGGCCTAAGCCGAATGTAAATATGTGCCCGGCAGTATTCTGTCATCCCATCCAGGGTGTCCCCCATCTTGGCTGCTGTCTACCAGGGGCTCCTGCAGGCCCAGCTTACCTGGGGTTCGAGCAGGCCCAGCTTACCTGGGGTTCGAGCAAGGCACTCTCTGGGTGTTGACATTGTCACATAGTGGCTCGCCTCCATGGTAGATACCTGTTCTCACATAGATCTGAAATACAGATCACAGTGACCCAATAAAAATCTAATGCACAGACTGCAAAGTGCTTTGGATATAACTGTGGTTATATTTGCACTTGTAAACAGGACGTGGTGCCACAGTGGCTTAAAGCTATAGCCTTGTGCCGGAAGGTTTTGGGGTTCAGTCCTGCCCCCAATCTCTGTGAGTGGAGATTGGTATACCACTTTTAGCCTCTACTGTTCCTTGTACTTCCTGGGATAGCCTCCAGGGGCAGTGAGGCCATGTAGGAGCCTAGCGGTTGGACCATTACCACCTAATGATGTGTTTATTCGTTTTCTGGCCTATTTTATTATCGGAAACTGAATTTTAGCAAGACGAATATGGCTGGTACCACCTTCCCTAGTGCTGAAAAAAGCAATATGATTATTTTTATTTCTCTCTTCTTACTGTTACTGAATTACGCACATCCTTTGGTGATAAACTCTGATCTTGGTTATTATTTTTGAGGATTCATTACATATGAATCATTAATTTTGATTTGTGCAGTGTGCATTTCAAACTGAGTTTTTAATGCAGTGCAAGTTATCCATTTAATTTAATGCTATTATCATGTTATTGTGCAGTTATAATCTGCTGCATGTTTGTGATAAATTGCTTTCTTTGGTTTCTTTACAAGCCACAGATTAAGTTGCCACTTTTCCTCTGCTGCACTTATACTCCTGAGTAATTTGACCCGGTTTATTGCCCCATGTGTTAATGTTATCGCTGTTTTATTGCCCCTGTGGAAATATCTCCTGCGATACTGCTTCTGTGTTTCTACTGCCCCTTTCTTTATCAGTTCCCGCCACCTTCCCCCCACCCTTAAGAGGCCCCCCTCCCGCCCCCTCCACACCCTTACTCCTCACCTTGTCGATGTCCCTAATGTTGACGTTGACGTAAGTGGCACACAGCAGTCGTACCCTGAGCAAGGTGTTGAAGGCCCAGAGGGAGCGGGGGGCACTGGAATCCCCTCCGCCGGGGCAGGGGCTGGGCTGGGGGGTGCGACGACTGTAGGAGGGGGTCACAAACCCACTGGCGGGCAGCTGGCTGTACAGGCTATCCTTAGACACCAGCATGAGGTGTGGGAGCCTACCAACGATAATGCAGCTCCGGATGTACTGGGGAGGAGGAGAGAGATGGAGAGGGGGGGTGAGACAGAGAGAAAAGGGGAGAGGGAGAGGAATGGTGAGAGAGAGAGGGAGGAATGCAGAAACCGAATAAGAAAGATGTGGAAGGTAATACACAGAGAAATGGCGAGAGAGGGAGGAATGCAGAGATGTTGAGGGAGCAATGGAGAGGTGGAAGGGGGAATGGAGCGATAGAAGCAGAGGTATGTGGGGGGTAATGCAGAGAGAGGGAGGAATGTACTCCAAGTGTTCATTCAAACATCAGGCCCACAGGCATTTCAGAGACATTTTCCCTGGAAAGTTGCGCACATTTTATCACAGATGCGCCTTTATCGTTACCACAGTGACAGGAGATAATCCCCAGAGTGAGGGAAAGTAGGCTGATCCCTAGACGTCTCAAGCCCACAGGCGGTTCCAAGCTGTCTAGAAGCCGTCCCTGGCATATCACCTTGTATTGGCTCAGCGGGTACTTCTCCAGCAGATACTCGTCACAGCCGCACACCTTCAGGATGTACTGGCCCTGGTACTCCTGCACGCAGAGGCGCAGCTGCTGCGCAGACAGGTGCATGCTGCGCGTCTTCTTGCGGATGGCCTCCGCGATGAGCTGCTCAGGCAGGGCGTCGTGGGCGATCTTCAGCGTGTACTTCTGCTTGGCGTTGGAGGGGGAGACTATCACCCAGATGGTCACAATCAGGCGGCCTGTGGGGGGTGGGGGTGGGGGGAGCAAGCGCCGACACCAAAGTGAGGCTAATGAGTACAGCGGTAAGGTGAATACATGCCCAGCCTTTGCAATGAAAAATGCTCAAAACATGAGCGGTTAGGTGTGCAAACAGCCTCCTAATAACAATAATTGTGATGGAGATTGATGCCGAAATATTTGCATATTAATTGTGTGCATGTCCCTGGCCTGTATTATTATTATTATTATTATTATTAATATTATTAACAAAACAACACAACAACAAAACAATAATAATAATAATAATAATAATAATAATAATAATGAATAGGGTGCATCTGCAGTTCTGTATACCCCTGAAAAAGGTGTTCCTAGGCAACTGGAGAACTTTGCTCCCTAACACTAAACTAATCCCGATCACAGTGCCATGTTGACAGCTGTAATGCCGTCAGACCGCGGTGAGGCTGTGTGCCTGTGCTGGGTTGACCTTTATCCAGCTTGGAGAAGATGTGCTGGGGCAGGTCAGGGGATGACTCCACGTTGGGGGGGTACACATAGAGCGCCTGGCTGTGGGCGCCGCCCCCCTCCCGCTCCTCCATGGCCTCGCGGCACACGTTCAGAATGTTGCGCCGGAAGTCCTGCACTTCTGGGTCCTTCACCAGCTCGAACTCACAGATGGGCATTCCAATGGCAAAGCCTGCATGGAAGGCGATTGGGCAGGTAAACTGATCTGAGATCAGAAAGTTATACTGAAGGAAAGATGTGTGGAGTGGGTAGTCTGGAAATGCAAAATTTGCAAGGTTTGAAACCAAGCTACTGAAGAACCAACTGAATCAGGGAAAGGACCCTGACCAATGACATAAAAAACATGGAAAGGACCCCAACCAATGGCAACAAAGGCATTGAAAGGACCCCAACCAATGGCAACAAAGGCATTGAAAGGACCCCGACCAATGGCAATATAGGCATTGTAAGGACTCCATTCAATGGCAACAAAGGTATTGAATGGACCACAACCAATGGTAACAAAGGCAATGAAATAACTCTGACCAATGGCAACCAAGGCTTTGAAAGGACTCTGACCAATGACAACCAAGGCTTTGAAAGGACTCTGACCAATGGCAACCAAATCATTGAAAGAACTCTGACTAATGGCAACAACTGCATTGAAAGGACCCTGACCAATGGCAACAAAGGCATTGAAAGGACTCCGACCAATGGCAACAAAGGCATTGAAAAGACCCTGGCCAATAGTAACAAAGGCATAGAAAGGACCCCGTCCAATGGCAGCAAAGGCATTGAAAGAACCTCGACCAATGGGTCTTTTGAATGGATCCTGACCAATGGCAACAAAAGCATGGAAAAAAACCCTGACTAACAGCACCAAAAGCGACCAATGGCAAAAAAGACATGGAAGGGATGCTAACCAATCTCCCTGTTGAGGATCTTCTCTTCCCTGTTGCCCAGTGGCTCGATGACCTTGAGGATGGGGTGGAAGAGCCGGAGGTCACAGAGCCGCCGTGTCTCGTCGTAGAACTCCTCTCGCTCTGCCTCCTGTGTCACCCCAACAAAGATGTAGCATGACTCCTCCTGTCAAAGCAATAGAGACATTCAGTACAAACCCCTAACTCGACATCTTATAAAGAGACTTATCAAAATGCAGTTCTGCTTAAAGGGGCAGCACCCTACATATTATAATAGGAGAAAACATGGGCGTCTAAGAAGAGTGTTTGTGAGATTACAGCGCAGTTGTTGCCTAATTTAATTTCTAGTGGTTTATGATCACTAGACTTGTGAGACCATTGGGTTAATGACTATCATTACAGCATATTATTATTTTGTTGCTGGGCCAAGTTAATCTCAAAAGCAACCTACAGTTTAGTGACTTATATCACTTTACAGGAGCAATTCAGGTTAAAATCTTGTTCAGTGTGTGACCTTAATCACCATATTACCTGATGTTAATTTATTTAACATAAATTGCATAATTTGAGTTGATGTCAGTTAAGTCAAATGCAATCTAAATGAAGACCACCCAGAAATATAAAATGCAGACCATCTTGTCATTTATGGTACACAACAATAGAAAATGCCTATGTTTCTACATGTGCCTGCAAACATGTGAACTTGCGCCTATTGACCTGTAGGAGGTGGTAGAGAGGATACTTCCGGGCCTCTGTGAAGAGCTGCTGCTTGATGCTAATAAGTGGAGCTTCCCGCAGGCACTCCAGGCTGACCAGCATGCCGTTGGGCAGACAGCAGTCCACCAGGATGCGGGGGGGCATGAGATGGAGGCCCCATAACTCCCCAGATGAGGGCCGTGGAGGCATGCTGACGAGGTGGAAGCTGACCCTGGGCCACCAAAACACACTGGGCTACCAGTGACTGAGAGAGAGGAGGAACAGGAGGCGAGATGATCACAGATGTGGAAGGCGCAGAGGGAAGATGATGACCGCAAGAAAACAATAAATGGCTGTGACATTGATGGAGGGCGATGGAGAAACGAGATGGCAGGAGGGAGGACGGGAAGTCAGAAAGATGCGGAGAAAGAAACAAATAAAGGTGAATGCAGGAACAAAGTTAACAGGGAAAATGTCAGAAAGAACAGCCGAAGCAAAAGAATGTGAGGAAAAGGCCGAGGGAGGAATGCAAATCGAGAACCAAATGATAATAGGGCTACATTAGTGCAGATGTGATGTTAAAAAGAGATACTGGGGAATGTAGAAGGTAGGCGTTTGATGGGGAGGGAGAATGGGGAGGAAGAGAGCCCCAGGGGTATAGGGGAGGAGGGAAATGGAGAGATGGAGAATGAGAAAAAGAGAGGGAAAGAGATGAAGCATGATGTAAGAGCGAAAGGCAATATTTTAACGAACATTTAAACAGATAGATGTTCGCGTAGGGGGCTTGTAAGTGAATAAAACAGAAGATTAGACTCAATAATACATGTCAGAAAAATCGAAGTTCATCGGAAAAATTAAATAAAAAATACTATTAGATGTATCATTTCGATGGTTTAATTACATAGATGCATATTGAATTGTCATAAAACCAGATTTGGCATTTTTATTGTAATCGTTATATAATACGTTCACATAGTTGGCAGTACTAGCTGCTTTTCGTTTTTCATAGCGACCTTTCCCTGTTGCCGTCGGAAGTCAACTGGCCCTGATCTTCTGACCGCTTCTCGGCGCCACCACGGAGCTGCTGCGAGTCAAACGCAATCCTACGCAACACCAAGACAAACTAATGTAACCGCGCGGCGGTGGGATGAACAAAGGCGCGACGACAGGGACAAGTCGGGGCCGTGCGAGCGAAAGTAGGGCACATACCCACCGCCGATGCACAAAGCTCCACTGACAACTAACACAAGCTTCTGACGGCAAAGCTTAAATAAATTTGCCGTGGTCACTTTCAGCAATCTTTACTCTCACCAAGAACGATCGCTTTTGTTACTGGCCATGGTACTATTATTTAGTACAGGCGTTTTTGAAAAGGTTAACAAGACAAATATGTAGTTACTAACATTATTCAAAACCAGAACCTATTCTAATATGCAATATTGAAAAAAGCACAGCATATCCCAAATCATACAGTACCTAAAGAAAGAAATACTAACATCCATTACTTCCAGTAAAGGACTGTCGTTATACTACGCTATGTAGCAATCTGTGGTATATTTACTTGTGTACGCTTTTCCCCTATAATTTGACAGCTGTGGTCAGATAACCACGCGGTGGCATCAGGCTGTAACCCAAATCATAGATGAGTAATTGACTTCGGTAGCCCTGAACGCTGTCATAACTCTGTCTCTATTCCCATCAGTGGCTATAGGCCTAATCAGAATTAAAACATTTTCTCCGTTTTTTTATACATTATTTCTTCTAATAACGCACAGCGACTTATGCTATATGATGTCATCCAAATTAAAGCAAACTTACACATTCAAATAAACAAACAGTTCAATAGAATCCCAACAGGCGCTTTTGTAAACCAGATACACTTTAAAATATTTTCCTTCAAATGATTAATTAATAAAACGGGTTCTACTCCACAAATCAACTGATCGACTCACAAAAAGCACCATCGGCACCAAACAAAGCTAGAGGAGATGTAGCCACTGCGCCAGTTACGCATTATGTTGAGGAAGCGAAGAAAATTTATTTCACTAACGTTAATGACCGACACTGGGCATTTAGTGAATAGGTTTTTTCTTTAAAAAAATTAATCTGTTACTGTAATAATACAGCTACTGTCCTGACTCCGATTTATTTATTATTAAAAAAAACCGCAGCAAGATGACAAATGGTTTCTCCAAGTTTCACTCACCTCTAAACAGCACTTGTGCCAGCCTGGCCAGCAGTTATGTATCACTTGGTGGGGCTGATTTCCTGGCTTAAGATTTCCCCCGTGCCGCCACACTAGCGCGGGGGATATATAGTCATAGCATCTTTGTCCTGGTCTGATCGCTTCCCACACTCTTTGCACTCCCCTATCAAAGTCTGATCCACTTCTGAGCAACCGGCGCTGTTAACCGCGGAGATTAACTGCGCCGGCAATTTCCAAAGTCTGCTGTTTAGGCTGAACAACGTATTCAGCAAGGGAGGGTGTATGGGACGCTGTGTGTCCGTTTGCGTGTATGTGGTGGGGGGAGTAATCGCATAATTCATTTTTAAAGGGGAAGCAATGGTAAATTACAGAGGCTGAGAAAACCGAAACTCGATGACTGCAGGGTGGCTTTAAGGGTCTTGTTATTGTAAATGTTTTTGGAACCGATGACAGTGACTGACGAGATAAAATAAATAATCAGTTAATGCGACTCGGATCCGGAGCTTTCGTTGTGTTTACAATGTCATACGCGTGAGATATTTTCGTTAATGTATTTTTTAGCAGAAATATTGACTTACATGGTATTGATGTTTACAAGTAGTATCGGCATTAGGTGTCAGAAGGCTTGACGTCTGTTTCGTGTAAATAATGAGTCATAGATTATATTTAAGCAATACGAAATAGTTAAAAGGAACACAAGCAAAACAAAGAAAATACGATTTTAAAATCGTAAATCAGTCGATGAAAGACAGGACACGTCTTTTTGTTATTTACCAGTCATAAACCTACTAAAAGTGAAAAATGCTGAATACATCACAGCAGCCACAACTGTGAAATGTAACACGATTTTTAGCAACGATTTTTTTCGGGATTCCGTGGTTATGTAATCTTTAGTTGACGAATATCCCCCCTAAAACAAGTGCAAGAGTCAACATCATTAATAGGATACATTTTAACTGAATAAACAATTTTCCTTCTAAATGGACGCATTCTAATCTTATAGTCATGCGGTTGTTGCAAACAGTACGATGACGGGTACCCCTAGCGCCACAGTGGAGGTGACTAAGTTTGTTACCACGGTAACACCGAGAAAAGCCACGAGGGCTTCATCCTCCCTTGTTTATATGTACAGATTATATGTTAATGGGCAGTTTATCCTTCCAATAAACCTATTCCCTGTCTGTTGCTAAAACCGTCCATTGCGAATTAAAATCAGATAATGTCCACTCCTACATACCCTAGATGATTTCAGTCTGATGTTTGACATGCACCAGTATATTAAGGCTGTATTAGATTCCTTAAAATGACTGCTTCATCTGCTCTGGTACTGAATCTATTTACATTAAAGCAGTAACAAGGTCATATTGGCACGTCACCCACCTAAAAGCTCCTGTAATCTGAAGAAGCATACTTACTGTAACAAAATTTCACAACTGACAAAATATCAAAATGCTAAAAAGTTGTAGCTAAAATTAAGAATGGAATTGAAGAGTAATTTAATTGAAAAAAAGTAAATTGACATCTGGGAATTTCACTATTTTCAATTACTAATATCAGAAATAATAGCAAACTTACCAGCACATCGAATCTCCAAGTTTATATAAATTCATAGAATCACATCACAGTGTCTGTGTTTTTCAGTTTTCCATTGTTGTTTCAGGCTATTTAAAATAATACATTGGGGGGGATCGTGAGATAGTTGTCACAGCACAAAAAGTACATCTAAATTATTATGACCACAGGCGTATTCCCACAACTGCTGTTCCTTTGTGGGAAAACAAATCCAGGCACTAATTTCACACTGTTCTCATTATGCTAATGCGGGAGTAGCGGGTTATCGGTCTTAAAGCTGCAGAAAAATAACGTGCTGCCTTCTCTTTAACAGATTTTTTGCCTGCCTTCCTCGGGACTATAGTGACCAATAAGATGTCATAATTTAAACTTCTCTGGTTGGCTGGAGTGTGTGTCTCCAACACCCCTGAGCAAGAGAGCGTAAGTGTATTGTAGGTATGAGGCTTTGTGCGAAGTATTCATCCTAAGGTCCTGGCGCTGGGTTCTGTCACCCCATTGTTCATGCTTTCCTGTTTTCTTTCACATGTCTAACTGCAGTCCCCCCACCCAAAGCTTCTTGTCCCCCCCCCCCAGCTGCTGAAGCAAACAGAAATACAGTGTTTTCCACTAAAACAATGAAGGCCACTAGGCACATAGCAGAAAGGAAAAGCCTAGTTAGATTCTCTTCTACATAAACAAGAAAAGCAAGAGCACAAATTAAAATACATTTTTGGCTGTTGGGGACTTTTTGGACCGGCTGGTGCACTGTACTCCTACTGTATCCTATCAGGTTTTTGTTTTGTAAAAGTTTGTGGTTGTCACTGTGATTGATGTTTTCAGTAAAGTACAAATTAACATTATAAAATGGATGCATTATGCAAAATGGTTTAGACTGTTTAATATTAAATAACTCAACGCCAAATACTGCAAATACAAAGATTTCAATGAATTAAGTACTCCATCTCTGAAAACAAAACTTCTGACCCCAGATCGTTTTAAATTTAAATATAACTAGCACTATTACAAACAAGTAAGTTGAGATAAATGTTTAGTTTATATCATTGGTGAAAATGTGTCACTTTAATAAAATTTCTTTAGGTGTTTGCATCTTTAGGAAATGTTTAAATAAAGGAGCATATTAAATTACTCCTCCTCAAAGAACGTGAAGGAATATTTTTCATCCTTCTCTGCCTGTTTGAAAATGTCCTGATAGCTCAGGATCTCCATGTCTTCCTGTACGAGGTCCTCCGCACTCTCCTCCAACTTCACTCTCTGACTGCACAATTTCTTTGCTGTAATCCCTCCTTTCTTTTCTTTCATCTCCCAGCCGGCACCCTTTTTCTCAGTAACTTCCTTTCTCAGTGTTTTCTCTCCATCCAGACTCACCAGCTTCTGACTTTCCTTCTCTCCTCTTCCTCCACCTACAGGTATTTCTGGGACAGTCTGGTCCCTGAAAATAGTCTGCGGTTCTGTGTAGTAAACACGTAAAATTTGTGTGAATAGGAGAATGACAGTGCTGTGAATACTGGGAGAACAGAACGATTTCAAGATTTTCGTTAATAGTTTGCTTTCATTTAATAATTTTCAAAGCCAGTAGTTACTCATGATCTGTTGCTTGTTTGGCTGTATGTTTTGAGCTGGTATACAGTACTCATGCCTTTCCTGTGTGCATCCGGTCTGGGAACTGAGGAAATTGGGGCTTTCTCCTTCCCTTCCTCTGCTCCCCCTCCTGCGCCCTGTTCCAGTGGTTCCCCATGGGGAACAGTGACATGCTCTGAGGAAAAGAAGACGCCCGCATCAGGCATTCAACCCCCACTGTTTACCAACCATACGCTACTGAAGCATGGAAAGATTCCCATTTAAAACGAACAAATATCACCCTGCAGATACAAACTTACATATAAAATGAACTTACTGTTTTGCTAATGTACATATTATGTGTGAGATGTGAATTAAGAAATCTCATTCCTAAATTACATATTCCACTATGAATATACAAAAATCAAATAGTTGTTCAAAGCTTTGAACAACATGCAATTTTTTGGGAACAGTTTGGGGAAGGCCCTTTTCTGTTCCAGCATGACTGTGCCCCAGTGCACAAAGCAAAGTCCATAAAGACATGGTTGGGTGAGTTTGGTGTAGAAGAACTTGACTGGCCCACACAGAGCCCTGATCTCAATGCCATCAAACACCTTTGGGATGAACTAGAATGGAGATTGCGAGTCAAACCTCCACGTCCAACATCACTACCCAACACCACAAATGCTCTTCTAGATGAAAAGGTAAAAACTCCCACAGACACACTACAAAATCTTGTGGAAGGCCTTCCCAGAAAAGTTGCAACTGTGATAGCTGCAAAAGCTGCAAAGGGGGATCAACTCCATATTGTTGCCTATGGATTTAGAATGATGCCATAAAAGTTCCTGTAGGTGTGATGGCCCAGTACTTTTATCTATCGAGTATACTTAAAAATGACATGGTCAAAATGGTTTACTACATACACCATGTCCATCCATCCATCCATACATCCACCCATTCCCATCGCCTATCAATCACCTAACCTAGCTGCATTATTGGTTCACAGGGAAGGTGAAGCTTATCCCAGGAAGCACAGGGCACAATGATTTATAGACAAACCATGTGATTGTGGACTGCAGGAGGAAACATATGTGCTAAGAGAAAACCCACACAAACAAAAGAAACACATAGTATTTCCTACAGCATTTTCCCATATTAAATCCCGATCTTCAAAAGTTTATCCACTGGAGTGCTCAGTCAGTTTTGGATACTTAGAGTATTCCATTTCACTCTTTTTCTGATCCTCACCTTTGGATGTCTTTTTCTTGATATTCCTTCTAGTCCTACCAATATGCCCCTGTTGAAAAGTGTATGAGTTAGGGTCGGGATTCAGCCCTAACCTCACAATTCTATCCAATTTTGAATCACAAGTGCCCAGTTTGATTCAATTTAATTTTGGTATAATGTCTTTTAAGAACAATTTTTTTTGAGAAATAATTCATCATGTAGATTTACGTCAAACATTAACAAAGGTGAATGCTAAAAAATGAATAAATTTTTTTATTTAACCAACAAAAAAAAAGTGTACTCTAGTTTTCACATAATGTCCATTACCATGTAAAACAATTAACCAAAAAAACATTCAGCAAAAATATTTTCAAATTCACACAGGAAAGGCATAAATGAACAAGATTGATTTTGTGATTTTGTGAATTGATGTTGAATCGTCAAAGCCAGTATTGTGATTAATAATAAAATCGATATTTCTTCCCACCCCTTGCATATATGCACTATAATGATTCTCATCATCATTGATTACTGCATATCAGAGTGCTGGCTCAAAACACCACATATTGCTGCATAATCATAATCTGTTACTGCATATTAATTAGGATAATTAGCAACTTAATGGCACCTATTAGTATATTAGTAGTCAGAGTGATTAGGTTAATCTGGTATTGATGATCATCTTTTACAGGGATGTCATTAGTATGTTTGCTTGATCAAAATCTCTGTTTACCTTGTTACCCCAAACCTGTTTCCTCTCTTCTAGATGCTCAAAAATCTGCATTAGTTCTATAAGTAAAATTTAAAATTGAAATAAAACATTAATACTTTGCAACTGAAGAGTGTCTTAATCATACAATAGTGAAATTTTAAACAACATATTCTAGGGCGATAACAGCTTAAATGATACAGAATTTTATTTATTATTTACTTTTGTGGAGGTGTGTAGCCTTCTTCAGAGCAACCTGTGTGTAGGTGTATGATTAAAGGGAAATGCTTGTGTGTGTGTGGAAGGTGTGAGTGAAAACCTGAAGTAATATGGTGCATATACATGGCTGTATCCTGAAATATCATGGTGCATTTGTGTGAAAACCTGAAATTTCATTATCTTCCTTGGAAGTATCCCTGTCCACTGTGTAGCGGCTCTTGAATCCAAAACGTGATAGTCGACTCTGCACAATAAATACACAGAAATCTAAACTGCTACTGTAAATAGGAAATCTCTCCATCCATCCATTTTCCATAACTGTTTATCCAGTACAGAGTTGCAATGAATTTACGACTTGTAAGCGCTGATTTAATTATTATTTTACGAATACTATTATTGATCTATTCCTCATATCGCTTTGTAAATAGTGTGTATATTTCATTAGCTTTAAAAAAAAAATCTGAGAATAATGCCATAAAAAAGAGATTGTTAAGAACATTTTGATTCCATGTAGCAGGGTCAGATTATTTGTCATTTTAAGATGTCCCTTTAAGTTATGAAAATAAGGTTCATTGAAATTTTCAGTGCCAGATCAGAAAGCAGTTTTTCAGACTAAATGAAGATGACCTATTGTTTGCCAGTAACAGTTCTGTAACATCATGGCAACTCACTTTGCTATAATTGAGCAAGAACTGAGTTCTGTTACAAAATTACAGACCTGTGGGATTATGGGCAGAGAGCAGTTGATGAAGCAGCTCCCTCTAATGGTTTAATTTGAGGTTGCCAACTATTCCATTCTAAAAAAACATAAAATACCAATAACAATTTTTGGGCGGCCAGCACAGTGGCTAGCACTGCTGCCTCATGCTTCAGAACTCTGCTCTGTGTGGAGTTTGCATGTTCTTCCTGTATCTCCTCTAAATAATCTGGTTTCTAAGAGCCCAAAGACTTGTTATTAGGCTCTTTGGTGTCTCTAAATTATTCTGTGTGTATGTGCCTGCAAAGGACTGGCTTCCTGTCCAGACCCTGACCATGTGCCCTGTGCTGCCTTGGATAGACGCCAGGCAACCCTGACCAGGATAAGCAATTAAAAGATGGATGTTCTAAATATAGCTAATCATTTAATTAGAACTTGAATATTGAGTTACAATATATACAGTTTTTATTATTTATTTTATTACTTATTTTCTGTAGTTGAATACATTGTGTTCAATATAAAACTATTTTCATGATTTAAATTTTCGTTTTCTGCTGATTTTGTGCCTGTTTACCTTCAGGGAGAGATCCTGGGCATGCTTAGCCATTCTAATGGCTTCATGGAGCTTCTTCTTGAAACTTTTCCCCATCTGTCACACAAAGTTGAGGAAGATATCAGTGTCCACAAAGCAGTTGACTCAACTGGAATGTCATGTTTTTGTCTGGCTGAGGACTGACTGTAGATGTCCACTAGACAACTCTACTATTTTCAAGCTATAGAACCATGATGGGTGAGATAACTCACTTTCAGAGCCGTTGTCTCAGAGAATGTCTCAAAGGACTTCACTTTACAGGAAGGCACCCAAGCACGTGTGACTGGGTCTCCAAAGAATGTCACATGGTACTTGGACTTAAGGGGCAGGAAAAAGTGTTACTGAAGACCACAGATTAACCTTATTTTCGCTTCAACATTCAAATACATAGATAACCCTGCTAGTACAGTACACAAAGAATCATACTGCAATCTTAATAACTAACAACACTCCTCAAAATTGTTATTTTTGAGTCATACACCTGATTGTAAAAACAATAGAGATATCTTTATGATCTGCTTGATCTGCAAAACATAACATCCTGTGAGCTGTACTTATTTTTAGGGGTCCAGGCACACAGTGCTGGAAGTTGATTATGTTCATAGGATACTCTTATTATAATTTTTGTAGTGCCTCTGAAAACTGATGAAAAGTGGAAAAAATGTCATAGCAGTCTGCTTAAGGCTCCTAAGAATCTTACTGGGAACCTGTCTATGTTATTGAAAAAGAATATGGACTTGGAGTCTGGGTCGCTCTCTGTCATTGCTGGCCACCTAAGCACATAAACACAAACAAACACTCACAGTGTGCCACACACCAAGGCTACTAGTCTGTATTTGCTTACAAATAAACATGGGTATAGACACAATACATTAATAATTTACTGTTTAACCAGAAAAATAATATTGCAATGCTGAAATATTTTAATTGCATTCTATAACAACATTCTACTAATATACTACACTGGAACTTTATCTATACTTTTTGCATCAAACAAAAAAAATCTGGTCACACATGATGTTGTTTTACCAACCTGTTGGATATGTGTACATGGTGAAAAAACAACTTTAACTTGTAATATCTCACCAGGGGTAACCCTGCAGCTGGGCCCACACCAGAGACCCAGGAACTAGGCTGCTATGCACTACATCATCCTGGCTGCCGCTCCAGGTTTCCTCTGGACAATTGCAGTTGTAGCAGTCAGGCTCTTCACAATAGAAGGACACATATCCAACCATTGAAAACATTTAATTGTCATATTTGCCAAGTGTTACTGAGCCACTAACATAATTAAGGTATCCTGGTTTATCACCAGATGAGAGGACAATTCAAGGAAACTATGCAGAAGATAAAGAGAGCATGTTTTCAAACTTTGGTGGACCACAAACTCCACTGAGATATTCTGGTTTATTACCAGAGGAGAAAAAAATATTCAAGGGAACGATGTAGGAAATAAACAGAACACGTTTTCAAATGTGCCACTGTTGTGAAGGTAAAACTGCGTCATGATATCAATCAGATCATTACCTGAGCTTTGGACACAGGTCCACTTTGGGGGCAGGACTGAAAGGTCTACATGCTTATCCAACTTTCTCCACTTCTTACACCTGCTTATACTGCACTGGACCCATCGGTCATCTAACACACAGACATAGACACACATGAAACGGTAAGTTGTTTAAGTTGTGGTTCTGATTTGATAAATGTTTAAAATTTTACTTGATGGTTAAATGAGTTCAATAAAATGATTTTTTATAAGATTACTCATGAGTGTTCATCTTTAATGCAACCAAGCAAAAATGGGAAATAAAGGTAATAAAAAGACGGTACAAGTACAACCATGCTCACATTGATCTTCAGTATGCTCCTCTAGCCTGTCCTTGTATTCTTTCTTTGCCTCAGGTTTCTGTACAGTTGCCTCTTTCCTCTCTCGGGGAAGTTTTTCCTTCTTGCTCTCTTTGGACCTGACAGGCACGACACCTGACTGAACTAACCATTCTCACACGTGTGCTTTCACTAAAACTCATTTGGTGGAAGAAGTCCTCTGCTACCAGTCAACAATTATCAGATTTCACCCATGCTATCCACTTCTGAGGAAGTGCAGTCTCTTAATAACAAGACATTCAATAACATCTTCATGTAATTGCTTGAGAGGCTCATTGCATTAGAAGGTGCAGGTAATGTGTGGATAATGTGTACAAACTATACATGGAATCATATTACCAATATTTAGCCTTTTGAAAACTACTAATATCCTTATAAATCTCTGGTATAGGGTACAGTCAGGCTGCACTTCAAATAAATTCTTGCAAGATTATTTTACCTGTCATGGCTGCTTTCAACCTTTGCCTGCAAACCCTCCACTTCATTCAGAACCATCTGGGCATCTTCTGCAAACACAGAGATATTCATTTTAAAAAGTAATATCATTGTGATTGATTGGAGATTTCCATTAATTGTGTTTTTAAAGTGGGGAAAAGCATACATTCTAGAACTCTTTCACTTAAAAGCTCAAGTAATATGTTTAACGCTAGCACCTTTCTGTCCTACCTAAGCAGTGTTCCAACGAGGAATCCAGGAAACCCTGGAAGCGGTCGTGGAGCTGGGCATCAGGAAGTATCTGTTTGGTGAAGCAGGGAACCTGCAGCAGACACAGGCAAGACTGAGGCCCACAGGTTGTATCCCTTAGAAGTGACTCATCAGTATCATGTGCTCTTACATTTCATTCTTCTGAGGTTTGATTTTGTGTCCTTTAAAACAAAATGAGGCAATTCCTTCCCAGTTTTGAGAAGGTACCTGCACTGGTGATACGTAAACTAAACATAAGCAAAATGACCATCGCAGAACAAACATCTTCCTAATGCACAGACCACAAGTATACATTAACTCACTGCCTTGAAACTGTTTCTACTTTGACACATATATTTATATATCTGAAATAGAATGATTTTGAATCATTCATAAAGAATTTTTATTTAAAAATGTTGACTTTGGTCAGTGTTGAGGGGCAAATATTTTCCATGCATGCATGATTTGATCTTTGAATGTATATGTCATGTATTGTGCCGTGATGGTATATTTTCTATATAAGGGCATGCCAACATTTCTTAAACCAGAGTCCCCAAATGAATACAGACCAGATCATAAGGACCCCTTAGCTGTAATGCTAACACATTTAAGTGGGTGGGGCTGCATTTAATATTTTTCTCTCTGAATGGGAGGAGAGGGTCCTGTGTTACATGGTAATACTGACAATGCTTTTCATCCCACAGACCCCTAGGAGGTTGAAGCACTCTGATTTAAAGTATCCCAACGGAGGATCTTCCCAGAAAATGCAGAATCTGTATTGTTTTTGTCTATCTGTGTATTTTTGATTCTCCTCGCACTGCCCTTTATTCCTCCTCAAGCTTTACCTTCCTGCTCCTATCATTGTCCTTCCTCGGGTTTGCTTGGCTCTGCCCCTTCCCCCCTGCACTTTTCCCACTGGCACAGAGCTGTGCGCCCACATGCCTGCATCCCTCCTTCTTTCCCCCAATCCTTTCTGCCCCAACCTTCTCCTTCTTTCCACTCTCTTCCAGCCCCTGATGGCTGCGCATCTTGCATTTTTCCTCCTGCTTCTTGCCTGCCTTGCCCCGCTGTAGCAACAGCCCTCCTCTGTCAGTCCCCATCGCATTTGTCTTTCTGCAGCCTTCTTTGAAATCTTCCTCACTAGCTGTCTTTTGCTTCCTCTTCACCCCTCCATTACAAACTTTACCATCTGTAATGACCTTCCTTTCTCCATTAGGTTCATTTTCTTTCTTGTTTTGCTTAATATTCTTTATACTCTTAAATCCTTTGGCTGTAATTGTCATATGTTTCCCTTTATCTAATTCTCTCTCCTTTCCCTCACTATAATTTTCTTTTTGTACAGGCAGCATCAAACAGCCATATCTCCCTCTTTCTTTTTCATCTTTATCTGCAGTTTTCTTTGCCTCCTTCTTGCCCTGGTTCTTCCATTTACCAGGCACAAGCTTTTCTTTGGTACCTTATTTAAAACAAACAAAACAAAATAAACAAACGAAAAACGTGTCCAAGTTAATACCTATCTTTCTAATTAAGTTATATTATTGTAAATATTACGATAAATATGTATTGAAAGTATGCGGTTTTAACTGGACTATTGAAATCAAGATAAAAATGAACTGACGTGGGGAAAATGAATTTCAAATAATCGAAATTCTAATATATTTACGTATATATTTACCTGAATTTATTTCCATCAGTACCGTTCTTCTTTAATGTAGATTTAAAAAGCCGTCGTTCAGCGTCGTTAGGCCGGCTAGCTAACCTCCTCCCGCCAAAACGCGGCAGCTTCGCGCGCCGCGGCCGTTGCGGAGTGCTGCGCGAGGGCAGCCTCGCGTCTTCCGTAAAAATTCGAATGTCTTACATATTTCAGACTTGAGGGTCAGTGGTTGTCTAATTTGCTGTTTCGTTCTTTGCCAGTGGCATGAAAATACTCATGCATAACGTCAGCTAAGCAGCTGTAGGCACACATGCTCAGCGAGTGACTTTGTGACACACGTACTGCCATGGCGTCAGAAGCATTTTGAATGTGGGGGGTACACAAAGGCATAAAACTAATATTTTATGTCAAATATGGGGTGGGTCCAAACGAATAATTATGAAATGTGAGGGGGACACGTCACATGCACACGGCATACATAGGAATCCTACAAGAAAACAGGCATAGCCTTCGTAAATTACAATATTACAAACGCGGATCTTACTGACAGCAGTCTTAATGTGAAATATTAATATATGAGTATTTGAAAAGTTAAAAACCTCGCTTGTAGGATGAATAATGAACTGATAAAACAAGTGAAAGTCCGTTGTTTAACTTAAAGAAAGCGGGGCGGCACGGCGGTGCAGTGTTCGGCACTGTTGCCTCGCATATCTAGGGACAGCGTTCCAGACTCCGCCACGGCTCCCTCTATAGAGTTTGCATGTTGTCCCGTGTTGTCGTGGGGTTTCCTTCGGGTGATTGGAGCTGCCAAATTGCGCATAGGTGTGTGAATATGTCCTGCGATGGGTTGGCGCCCCATCCTGGGTTGTTCCCTGCTTGCACCCGTAGGCTCCGGACCCCCCCGCGACCCTGAATAGGACGAGTTGGTTCAGAAAATGAATGCACAGACGCTTCCGGGAAACGACGGTCCGAGTTACTACATTTCCACTTTACGATGGGTAAATGTTTTTCACTTTCGGTACATTATTCAATAAATTACATGACATATTCAACGGTTTATTATAAAATATTTATTGTGTTGATTATTTTGCCGCACTGTAGGCTAATGTAAGTGTTATAAGCATGTTTTAAGGTAGGCTAGCCTAGGCTATGATGTTTATTAGGTTAAGTGTACTGTATTAAAATGCTTATAATATGTAATCCCACCGTAACTCGGGAAGAAGCTGTAGTTTAGTGTGTCTTATCGGCTTTGTGTAGAATAAACTATATGCTATAGTTTATTTTAGGAATGAAATATGGTATTACTTGCACAGCAGATTATGGATGATACAAAACGAATCTGTCTTTATAGATATGATTACCTTAACATCGGACCAGACAGCAATTTCACAGGAATTTTATTTCACTTTTTCTCTTAATATTGAATAACTTCAAAATGAGACTGGAACCTTTAATGTCACTGATGTCTTAAGTTTCCTTAGCGAAAAGTACTTTCTGTTATGACGATTGTCAATCCCAGTGAAACTGGTGTGGGACTCCTCTTAAATTCATTTCCTATTTAGAAATTTCCTGCTGCAGGGCTGGGTTGGGAGAATGGTACACTCTTAATACCTGGGTTCACATTTCGAAAAGATTTTCTTTATTTAGCAACAGATTTTAAACTTTAATCAGCTCATAATATAAATCTAATATTGATGTCATGGTCAATAACATGGTTTTCCATGTTGAAGAACTGACAAGATCAATTGCATAATGTCAATGAATTGTAGGTTGTACAGATTTACACATTTCTCGCATACAGCTGAAATACCTTGTGGGAAAACCAGAGGCAGTGTCCATTCCTCAGTGTGTTGTACATTCTCTTATCTAGAAATTTCTCCAGTAGTCTAAATAATTCGAACATTTGATTAAAAGACAAGGTCAGGCAAAGATTTACCTAGATGTTAGCCAGCTTCAGCAAAAAAATCAATATGATTACTATATATCAAACTCTGCCTTTTGCAGGATTTTTAAATGGCACAGTGAAAATAGAATGATTAGGTTCATTCTACTCTTTTTACCTACAGTTGAGATCGGCCATGCTTAGGTCTAGCTATGGCTCAAGTGGACTGGTCGCTAATTTATATAATTGAATAGCTGAGCATGCTATGGAACCATTACATTTTGCTTCAATCTGGGAAAGAGAATTGGGATGGATGGGTTTGCATCCTAATTGGGAACAGTCTGGGTGAATTTAAATCCAGCTTCTAAATGTGTAGCTCACCAACTGATACACTTTAAAACCATCCTCTGGGCTTATATTACTACTTATAAGTGTCTTAAAATGAATTCGTCTCACAGCCCATGATGTAGCCTTTGCCATAGCTCCATAGTCACTCTTCTCTATATGTTCTGGGATTGTACTGTTATTGCAAACTTCTGGACCTCTGCCGTCCATTTATTGCGTAAGTTCACTCGTTTTCACCTTGTTTTAGACCCTTGCTTTTGTTTATTGAATGACGATGCCTCACATATTCTCTCTTTACGTAACAAACGCATGGTCTTTGCTGGCTTTACTGCTGCTAAAAAAAAATTCACCTTTGGTTTAACCCAGAGACTAACATAGGATCTTTTTGGATCAGGCGTTTATTGAATAGTGTTTCATTGGAAGAGATCATAGCTAAGCTGAGCAATGGCAACCTTTCCAAAGTGGAATTTTGGATGTGTTGTTCAAGAGCTATTCAAAATAACCTGTAAACTGTTAGTACTTCGGATTATGAGCTCCTTGTTTTACATATTTGATGGTGTATTGGAGTATTGGAAGTGGTGCCTATTTATTTCGTGACAATAGTGGCATGACCTACCTCTTTTTTTCCCTTTTGTTTTATTTTGTGTTTGTACGCCATCCGTTTAATGCTTTTGCATTGCTTCTCTTCTTTTAAAATCAATAAATATTATAATCACAAAAATGGAATGATTAAATGTAGCATCACTTAAGAACTAAGGTAACTCTTGCACATAAACAGATTGCAGGTTTGATATGATGGGTTTTACTGAAGTCTGGTGTGGGCTCTGCTTTAGCTATAGTAGTTCTATTGTATTGGTCCTTTAATAAAATTTGATTACTAGTCACAGGAGTGATGCTTCTGGAATGTGTATATCTGATATCCATTCAACTCCAAAACACAGCTATTTGGAAGTATTTGAAATAATCAGAACTCTTGCCAGCTGTTCAAGTGTCTGGGGTCATAAAATGTTTCACTTGCCTTTGGTACTTTTTGCTTGCTTGCTATGGTTTACAGGCCTTCAAGCCATTCTATGGCATTAAACCCTGCAAATTTTCTTACAAATATGGCTACAATCATGCAAAGTTATTATTATATGATGTTTATCATTGTTCAAAAGGTAATAGCCCTATTCCTTATCATAGTCTCACTCCAGACTTAACCTACTGAATTGATGTTTAGAGGGTTTCTGCATTTCCGCACGACACTTTTCTGTTGCATTACTTTCTTATTGTTCTGGAGATGTAACTGACATATCATGCAGAATCATAAAAAACAACTTAATTTTTGAGTGCACTAAAGATTATTGTCACAATCGTAAAGAGTTTTGTTGCCTTCTCCTTGGACAGTAAAGCCCTTGCTGTGAATCATATCTCACTAAGGACAACACCCACCGAAAATGTGAAAAAGATACATCTACTGCTTGCAATGGCACCATCTAAAGATGTCGGGCTTAGGTGAACTGGTGTCTCTGTGTCACCAACAGTGTGCACTTGTGTTCCCCTGCCTCATGCCCTGTGCTACCTGGTGTAGGCTCCAGACTGTGACTCTGCTTTGGATAAACAGATATGGAAGATGGATGAATGTACCTGCTGCCACGTTAAGCTGCACCATAAATATTGTGGCATATTTATGTTTGCCATATTTCAATGTACAATAACATTTACTGCATTACAAATAATGCCATAACATACTGAGAAAAAAACATGTAATATGCGTTGCAAAAATTACTATTCGAACTTGTCATTAATAAGTTATTAACTTGTATAAACATATTTTATATTCGGTTATACTGTAGTCTGCAATACTGACTGAACTACATCTTTGAAACAAAAGCGTGCCTTGATGACGTGATTGATGCGCCACAAATATGAGAGAGGGAGGGGGCGTTTAATACACCCTATGTTTGTAGCTATATCGATCATTGATATAACTGTTTTACGTGCAGTGTATATTGTCTACATTTTACTACCCTCTTTTAATAATAATTTATAGTGATTTGTCATTTGAATACACGACATCACATTAAATGATTTTGCTCGATTTTAAAACTGATAATGATAGGATACCTTTTTAAAGTGCTTTTTTTAATTGAAAGGACCAAGAATCGTGCTGTTAGTATGCAACTCTGAAAACACAAGTCCTGTTTTTGTAAAGTGCGTTCGTATGCAAGATAACTAAGGCGGGGGAAGGGAAAAGCGGAAACTGCAGACAGGCAGAGAATCGGATACCTATTGGGCTGGGGTTGCTGTATGTATGGGGAGTGTCACTTTAGCCAGTGTTCAATGCTATTGGTTCGTTTAGGGAGGTCGGTCTCCAGAGCTTGTGCTGATTGGTTTGTAAGGCTGCCCGTCGGTCTTTTCAAGGTTGAGTGCAATATAAAAGCTGCCAAGACTCTGCAACGGGGCACTCGATTCGACACCCAGAGTCTTATAAAATATGCGGTCGTATGGAAGGCCTGTAACGTACACGCTCAAAATTAGAACTACGATTGAAATACTTATTTTTAAATTTTGGAGTAGATGATCTTTCCAGATTGCACTCGCTGGAATTGGATCCACATTATATTTTGAATAACTAATTGTTATAGAAGTACAGGCACGTTTTTTTAAATCTCTTGCCACCTCTGTTGTTGCTATTTTTATTTTTTTTGTAAAAATATTTATGCCTGTCCGGTCTGGGCAGCTAAAAGAAGCCGGAGACGACGACCAGGCTCTGATGTGTGTGCAAGAGCGAGCGGGACCAAGAGTCTGTATGTGTGTTTATATGTTTTTTCCGACCTCTCGTCGTAAGTTAATAATTCAGGAGCATTGGTGACGTATTGCACAGAGAGGCGAGTTTATGCAAAAAAGCGTCCATTCATTTAATGCGAGGGAGGCGTATCCACGCACAGCACGCAAAGGAGAGGCTGGGTCGACGGTGTCGGACGTACACAACGATTTTTACCCCCCCTCCTGACTTCTCCCAAAGCGCTTTCTCAGTGACTTCAGGGCTTGAAACAATACACCTTTTTGTGCTTACAGACACAGAAGAAGTTATGTAGCTACTGTTTTTAAGAAGGACAACGTGCTTTTTGGGTACCGTAGGGAATGAATAAGTGAAACCAACATGCTCCGCAACAAATCAAATGGTCCGTTAAAATAAATCGAGGAAGTGATGTATCATTAAGTAAGTATACAACTGTCTGCTCAGCAGATAGTTTGACTGAGAAGTGTGCATTAAAAAATCGGGATGAGGTGATTATTAGCATTTGATTGCTTTTGCAGCGAGGAGGAACTGTGTTGCTAAAGTCTTTTCTTTTTGCTTTTTTTTTTCTAAGATCAATGCCAGCAGCAACATCACATTCTGGACTGTTGAGTGAAAGATGATCGAGATGGAGATAGAGACTGTTTTGACTGGTGATGGCGGCCAGAATCCTGTGGGCCACCTACAAGCCCAGAGACTTGCCGACTGCAGTAACAGGTCCCTCACTGCCGTGGCTGTCAGTTCAGGAGGTGCCACTATGACAGCATTGGCAGGCACGGTGACCGTACCCGAGCACTCTGCCGTGAATGTCACTTCCGTTGGTGGCCAGAGGCGGGATGAGTGTTCGGGGTCTGGGGCGCGGATGGCCGGCAGACCCATGCGCCCCAAAAATGGGCAACACCAGCCACAGCAGCAGAAGCTGAACAAACGGCGCTACAGCATGAACGCCAGCTTCAAGCAGTCGGGCTACGGGAAGCGGCGGCGACGAGCCAACTCGGAGAGCGACCCCGTTCTTCCCACTAACTTTCTGCTGGGGGGCAACATCTTTGACCCGCTGAACCTTAACAGTTTGCTGGACGAGGAGGTGAACCGGACCCTGAACGCGGAGACGCCCAAGTCGTCACCTCTGCCCGCCAAGAGCCATGATCCGGTGGAGATCCTGATCCCCAAGGACATTACAGATCCACTCAACCTCAACAGTGCTGGGGGAGATGATGACATCCTCGTGTCCCCGATGAAGAGCAGGAAGAGACACCGGAACCGGCACCACGGGGGGGTAGGGGGGATGCCAGCTGCACAGATGGACTCCGGTGAGATTGAGAGGGGAAAGGCTGCTGAGGACTGTGTGGCTGCACTCAGCAGCACAGCGGTCCATGCAGTTCCAGAGCCCCCCAGAGAGGGTGCTGTTCTAGTTAGCGTGACCTCAGTTCTGGAGTCGCCGCAGCCTTATGAACTGAACACGTCCATCAACTGCCGAGATGAGGTAGTGGCTCCTATTTTGCCTTGCAGACATTCTCATAAGACCACCAGTATTCCCCAAAAATCGCAGTCAAAAGCTCCCGGGAGCTCAGGCTGCCTGACATCGGTGGTGTCCTGCCAGCCCCCCTCCTCCCGGCACCGCAAACGCAGGCGCACCTCCAGCAGGACAGATGCTTCTTCCATCCCACCCACACCCTCAAGCCAGAGAGGCAGCGTGGAGCCAGCACGAGGGCGGGCCACTAGGGGGCGCTCTCAAACCTTTCACACACCGTTGGTGGGAGGGGCCCACGGGCACGGCGCCGTCACTAACCATCATGGACATCAGCGCAGCCTGAATCGCCGCAAGGAGCGCAAGTTCCAGTACGGCAATTATAGCAAGTATTATGGGTACCGGAACCCGGGCTTGTGCGAGGACCCGCGCATGCGAGTCCTGCGGCCGGAGTGGTTCCGTGGAAAGGTCGTGCTGGACCTTGGGTGCAATACGGGCCACTTGACTCTGTCTATTGCCAAGAACATGCAGCCAGCCCGTATCTTGGGCCTGGATATTGACGGCGGGCTGGTGCGTGCCGCCCGGCAGAATGTCCGGCACTTCCTGTCGGAGCTACAGACCCAGGAGGCCCGGCGGGGGCCAAAAACAGACCATTGGGAGCATGGGGTCTCCACAGAGCCACGCGGCAGTCGCACGCAGGACATGGAGGCCGAAGGGGTACCGTCAGGGGAAGCGGGTAGAGAGCCCTTCTCTGCAAGCTATTTCCCCCTTTCCCTTCGGATATGCAGGGGTCCCATAGCAGCGCCCCCTATCTTTGTCACGGGGAATGAGGAATTTCCTGCTAATGTAACCTTTGTCAAGGTAAGTCCCCAAGGGGAATCTGGGGCCATCTTACGCCACATTTCTTTCTAAAGCAGAAACTGAAATTGAAACGCATCCCTGGTCCCTGGACATGTTTTCCGATGTGCCAGTCAGCGTCTTTGGGGTGGCGTATCGTTTGATTTCAGCATGTTCTCTGCCTTTCTCTGCTGTTCCTCTTTATAATTAATCTCTGAGTGACCGACAGTGTGCGTCACCAGAACGTTACCAGGTGCCACCTTCCGTCCCCACGCTGGCATTCCGTATGACAATGTCCACGTCAGATAAATTAGACACTAACAGATGTTGTCTTGATTCTCTTGGCAAACTTGAGAGGGAAACCATAAATCAACAGGCAGAGAGAACAACTACTGCCGGATGCATTTTCACGCAGCTGTCGTGCAAATGGAAATATTTGTAGGGGGAATGTTGTGTATGCCCCTGTTTATGGCTGTGCTGGCTTTATTGTGCTATGTTTTGGGAGCTGGGCTGAGGACCATTGTCCTCTCTACCTCAGTCTAGGATTGAGGCCTGCTCTCTCTACCTCAGTCTAGGATTGAGGCCTGCTCTCTCTACCTCAGTCTAGGATTGAGGCCTGCTCTCTCTCTCCCAGCTGTGGCCTGCAGTGTGCAGCTCTCTCCACAGTGGCTGCTTTCTCCTCGCAGTCTGTCTGCCGCTAGATGCCTTTGTATCCAACACACAGCTGCAGATGGGGATAGGGTAGTAATACGGCCCACTTGGTATTTCAACAGGATAATTGACACTGTTCTTTTTAATATGCATGAAGGTGGTATTTATGAGTAGTTAAAAGAATTTAGTTGTGGTCATGTGACAGGTTTTTTTTCTTCCCTGAGCTTTAGAGGACCCAGAGTCACACCCACTGTCGAGTGATTTATCCGTCCACAAGTACAACTCTGGGCCTGTCTGCAGAAGGATATTTAAGCCCGGCTGTTCGCTCTGAGAGCCGATAAATCTAGAGCCTACCTGTGTATCGTCAGTTTGGAGTCCTGTTTACGGTTCATTGTGTGTCTGGCTGTGTGTGTGTTTCATATCGCCCTTTGTGGGTGTGCTTGCAGGATCTCAAAAGACACAATTATCATCTGTCCTTTTGTCAGTGGGCGTGGTGTCAGATTCACTAACACTGCTGAATAGCTTTTCTACGAAGTGTAAAACATTAAACCAGAATTGGATTTTTTTTTAATATATATAATTTTTTTTTCTCCATGGTGCATAGCCCTGGTAATGGTGTTTGTTTTGGTGAGGATAATTAATGTTCGAAAGAAAAAAAAAAAAAAAAGCTTGCCACAGATAATCTTGCAACATACTTCTGAAGGTTCAAATGGATTGTGCTTTTTCCTTTAAACACAGTTCAGTGAGATATAGCTGAATTGCGTTAATTTTTTATGTTGACTGCAGGATCCTTACATTCCAAGAATAAATAAGCAGAAAAAATTAGCCTTTTATTTTGACTTGAATCATCGTTGACTGGCACCAGAATGTGTCCTGCCGCCTTCACAGAGCTGAGTGTCTGCTTGGTAGAATTCGTTAGGCTGCTGTTATTCTTTCCCTCCCCTTCTGGGACCTGCCGTAAACGCTGACACCCAGTGCAGGCATTCCTAACCTCCCAAAGTCGCAAGGGGAGGAAGGATTTATGGCAGCGAAAGGTCCGGCAGCTGCATGCTGTCGTTCGGATGAGACGTGTGACAGCCAGCAAGGTCTCTCACCCCCCCCCCCCCAGGAGAACTACGTCCTGCAGAGCGACGCACTCCTGCAGGCCCAGCAGCCAGAATACGACGTCATCCTGTGCCTCAGCCTCACCAAGTGGGTGCACCTGAACTGGGGCGACGCCGGCTTGCAGCGCCTCTTCAAACGGGCCTTCCGGCAGCTCCGCCCCGGTGGTCTCTTCATCCTCGAGCCGCAGCCCTGGAGCTCCTATGGGAGGAGGAAGAAGCTCACGGTAGGCGGTGCCCTCCCCAGAATCTGGGCTTCCCTTCCTGCCTGCTGGTGCACGATCCATGAAGGATTAAGGGTGTGGTTTGGAACGGCATCCACTTGTGACATTCGTCGCTTCAGTGTCACCTCGGCCCATGGCACTAAGTGTGCTGTTGCTTGGGTGACGTGGCACTATGCTTATTATTATTACTCTTATTTTTTGTTTACATAAATGCCCTTGTATGTCACCTCTGCATTAAGTATGACCTTGTTCTTCGTCAAATGCGCCGAAATGCGGCGCATGTGAATCTATGGCGACTATATGGCGAATATATAGCAGTGCTGAGGTTCGAAGGCCCCAGTGCAGACTCTGGTCGCACCCCCTTGCTTGATGCGTAGGGGTTGGAGAACACGGGGTCCCTGTAACATATGAGAATGCACTTTGACAGTTTCCCAAAAAAGTTTCAAGCATTTTGTTTAGCAGTGATTCCCCCCCCCCGATGATTCCGTGTTCCTGCATTTCCTCTGTGTGTGTGTGTATATATAGTTTATGGAGGAAAGCATAGCATTGCAGAGCACTTAATGCGGATGCAAGTGAAGATCAGTGTTTCCTCTGCTAAATGTGTACTGTTAGGAGCCTTGTGTGTGTGTGTGTGTGTAAATATAACCTTTCTTTTCTCCCCCTCAGGACACCATCTATAAGAATTACTACAACATTCGGCTGAAACCTGATCAGTTCAGCTCATATCTTACGTCAGAAGTGGGCTTCTCCAGCTATGAACTCATTGGCACACCCAAGACCATGTCTAAAGGTCAGTCAGCCATAAGCTTTCGAATACCCACCCCCCACCCTGGTTGTATAGTTGTAGCTGGAGGACAATGTGATTTTGTGATTCGGAGAGGGACATTAGTGTTTGTATTAGCCAGTTGGTACTGGTTTGGTTCCTCATGTAAAGCCTGCATTCTACCAAAGCCCATAAACAAGCTGCAATTAGATACATGGAGTAGTACCCAGTGTTCAGATTATAGCATTGTGTGCCTCGTAAAACTCACACTGACCCCTGTGGAACTTGGATGAGATTACCTTTGAGATTTTCATTTAAAAAAATAACCCCATTATAATAGTATTATTCAGTTCTTCCAATAATCCCAGCACTGTCTTGCTAGGACCAGCGGGTAGTGCAGTGATAACAGACTCATAACCAGAAGTTAACCTGACCTTCACCAGTAAAACACCCAGCTGGGTATAATTTTGTAAGATGCATTGGGTAAAATTATCCACTAAGCAAGTACAATGGTATCATAATCCTGTTTATTTTTTCCTTCATAATCAACAATAGCCATTCACTTGCTATTATTGTGCGGGTGTCAGCTTCAGGTCTGGCAGACGACCAAGTCCATAAAGCGCGAGGGCTTCCCCAGCATCTGCCCCCCCCCCCCCCCCGCTAGGGTCTCTGACCAGCCTGTCCTGAAACGCAGCATTATGTTGACTGTGCGGGAACTAGGGACACAAGTTGGTCCCGTTGCTCCACGTTGATGGGGCGCTAAGCAGAGGTGGCGATTTCGGGCCCAGAGAGTACAAATCCAGACCAAGTCACACTCAGAGTACTCAGCTGGTTGGTTGAAACACAATCTTGGTCTGGATTGGTACTCTCTGGCCCCGAAATCTTCACCTGTGGTGCTAAGGCCCGTCTGCTAACCCAGAGCCTCAACCGTCAGATCTGCAGACTGCATGAATGTTCACCGCTGTTCTCAGCCCGTCACACTGTACCCCTGTAGGCACGTTTTTCTGGACCTGAGCCTTCGTGGCAGGAAGGGGGTGGGGCCAGTAACTTTAATGCCAAGGCGCTAATGTTGTAGCCAAACATTTGATACTGGTACATTTCCTGACTCTTTTGTTGCTATGAAGTGGAAGGGGAAGTGAAAGATGGGTTGTTAACCTTTATCTTGCATGTATTAATGAAAATGGGCAGGCAAATCTGTCAAAGTGTCTTTTTCTGTCAGAATTTTGCTCAACAGTTCGAGCTCTCTGGCTGTGGTGTGGGGAATTATTAGTGTCCAGTATAACATTTTCCTCTCCTTTATTCCAGGGTTTCTGCGGGCAATTTACTTGTTCCACAAAGGACCTTCATCCTACAGGAAATGAAATCCTGAAAGGTGTGAAAAGAAGTCGTGAACAAAACCAACTTTTTTGTGTGACGCTTTAGATTTTTAGAACAAACATCGAGGCTTGTACCTGAGCATTATAACAAAGATTGTATCAGAAATCAAAAAGGGACGTCGTGGGATGTAGGATGTGATGGAAATATCTTAAAACTACTTGCTTGCTTAAAAGTATTAAATCATCAGTAGGCACAGGCGGACAAATGCATTAAAAGCAGCATTTAAAAATTTTTTTTTGCTCTCATCCTGTGCCCTTACGCTGCATCTATATGTGACGAAAATGCATCTCAAACCTCCTAAGACTCTGGGATGTGAAAACTGTCTGGCTTTTCCGTAACTGAAAGCAGCCACAGATGTCTGTATATACCTGGCAACCTGCAGCCACAGATGTCTCTGTATATACCTGGCAACCTGCTTCTTTGAGAAGAAAATGTGTTGTTCTACACGGACATTGGATTTGTTTCGGCTTGGAGGAAGGACACTCTACAGACAATTGGAAGAGGCCAAGAGTTGGACTGAACTGTGGGTATTTTCAAAGATGGCCATACAGACCACTGTTTCCCAACTCAGTCCTCGGGGACCCACACAGCATGTTTTTGCTCCCTTCCATACAGTCCACCTAGGGAGCTGGGAGGGAGCAAAAACATGGACTGGCTGCAAATCTTCGAGGCCTGGATAGGAAAGGCTGATATAGACCTGGATGGGTCTGTTTGCATTCCGACCAACCCAGATCTGCAACGCTTAAATGTGTATGGGCCAGCCTGAGATAAACCAGATTAAATGTTTCTTTTGGGTTTCACATATCCTTTCCAGAATGTTCACTCTTGTCAGGGCATCAACCTTTTTACCAGCCACCAAATTCTTCAGGTGCAACTCAAAAAAAAAAAAAAGTACTACTATTCGGTGAGTGGTAGCATATAGAGGTTGTGGGACAGACACACCCTTTCATCCCTTTTGCAACGTTTTACAGATTTTTTTTTTTGTGTTGTCAATGTTTTATGCAGTGATGAGGAATAAAACTATTCCTAACTTGTTCTCTTATGTTGGTATACATGTCTTGTGGATGTTTGCTCAGCCGTTAATCAGTTTACACAGCAACAAAAAAAAATATTCTGGCCTGAAAACATATACTTGCACACAGCATACAAGTGCACTAAACCATTCCTGCACATTACCATCTACTACAGAGTCGAATTATAATTTTTCTGAGAAACTTACAGTTGTATGCTTGTTAAAAATGTGCAAAATCATAACTTAAGGTGGAGCAGGCTGATCTGCTGAAAAACTAAATAATGGAATGATCTGTAAGTGTGTGTTATCGGCATTATGACTTTGTATTCAGTATGCAAATGAACGATGAGTCCCAGTTCCTTAGAAGTTACGGTAAATTATAAAAAAAAAAAGGTTATAAGACAATACCATACTCAACCAGGTTCTATGTGACACCCATAAAGTGCTAATCCTTGCGTGAAACTGAAATAGACGATACAGATAATTATTTAACAATCTGCCTCCGGCTATTGGTAAGGGACAATGATTTTAACAGGATACACGGAAGCGCTATATTAACGTTCAGCTGCAGAATAAAATCCTGTCGATGATAGTAAAAAAATTGTAGGGCTGTACCAATCAAATAAGTGAAATATTTAATGTTTGTAAACGGACGGAGGTGCAAAACGTGAAGACAATACACTTAAGATCATGTCAGCAGGTTTTGTAAAAACTGCATGAAAATTATTCCAATGCAATAACGTGGCTGGAATAAATCAGTCAGCAGTCCCAGGTCCAACTGGTGAGTCTGATCGTGGTTTCACATCATCCATGTTCTGAAACGCTGAAGACAGGCAAGCCAGTCGATTCTGAAATGTTGACCATACCTGTAACACAATGAAACGCAAGTTTAAGTCTGAGGACAGTGTATAGTACCCCCGAGTATATATGTGCGTCTAGGAAATTAATCTCTTTATACTACAAGAAACGGAGGAATCGCCACGCTATCAGTGAGACCGACTCACTACTGTATAATAACATCTGTACTTTTTAAAGATGAATATCCCAGCACGTTACTGCTTTACCGTCATCAGTACGTATGCTCACCTCAGTCAGACTATCCAGCTCCCCCGTTCTCTCAGCCCAGACCTTCAGGTTACTATTCAGCTGCACCATTAAGGATCGAGCTTCAGTCAAATTCTGCAGCAGATACACGAAAGCAAAACTTCAAAATGCCACCTTACTACTGATTAATGAGGCAAATGAACGCTTGCGCTATACAAGACTGCATACAAACAGAACAGTTGTCTAGAAAGATGCACACCAGCGATATGCTCTCCAGGTACTGCCTCCTGGTTTCATTGAAGCTGCTGCAATCCGCCCCCGCCATGCATGCGCCGCTTCCCGCGCTGGCTTCAGTAACCCGGCAGAGAAGCGCGCTTCCGCCTGCAGATACAAACCGTGCAGATCTGCAAGGACAGCATGTTAAAGTGTTAATTATAAACAGAATCATACGTGTTAAAAATAAACGTTGTTTGGCACCTAACGATGCCTATTCGACCTTCGAGAAGTTTCGTTGGTCTGGTCGTATTCCTCCCAAAATGTATAAGTTTTTGTTGTTAAACTTTACGTTATAAATTCATTTCACTTAGTCATGCTTCTAGGAGAAGCAACTTTGTTTCGTACTTATTTTAAATACTGTTTAAAAATATCACTATCGTTTCATCCAGATTTTAATCGGAAACCACAGGTTTAGGTTATCTTTAAAAGATAATGCCAAATGGAAGAGTTCTTTCAATTTACTTACATTTCTATTGCTTACTAAAATTAAGTATAGATAAGCTAAAATGCAGCAATGTTTTGATCTTGGGAAGTCCGAAGCACATCCTTTCTACTAATAGTACCAGATCAACCGTTTATGTCCTTTCTTCCTCATTAATCGTTAAAGTTATGCGACATAAAGCGTATTTAGATGCCGGGACATTGTTTTGCGTTTTCTCAGCACACAGATAGGGAATCTCCGGCTGGACGTGTGAATGGCCACCAGTTGGGGGAAATGCGCACAACGAGCGATAAGTTTCACTATCTAAGGAAACCATGCAAAGCACAAATTTCAACTACAATCCACACCTATTTTCAGTCGGAGTCTGGGGCGGGTACCTACTCAGTAGGTCCCCCTAGTGGTGAAGAATGGCAGTTGGAAATCTCGCTACTAGAAAATGTTCAAATGTAAATGTAGATTAGAATACATGACATAGAAATATGCCTAAAGCACTGTACAGGAGTTTTGTCTTTCTTTTTTGTAATTTTTAATGGCACACTCAAATATACAATAAGGCATCCCATCCGGAGTGTGCCCTAGCCTATCATGATACACTTTCAACTGCAAGCAAAATTAGTTCATGACAGTGTGGATAGAAATTCATTATACTGGGATAAGCTGAATTCTGTCTTGGGTGGCCAGAGTTATAGACATTTTTTTTAATAAACCAATGATTCTTGGAGCTTGGGGATGAGGGGATGTGGATCTGGATGTCTGAACATGGGATTGTAACGCCAAAGGTTGCTGGTTTGAGTCCCTTGCCATAATACCATGGACATTCTTAACTGGAATTAGTTCAGAAAAATACCATATAGCCGGCAGAAAGAGTAGCACGTCCTCAGAGAAGGAAGACGTCTCCAAAACCACGGCCTCCTTCTCTCCCGTAATCCGAGAGAGACGGGGAGACAGACAGTGTGGCAATTTTGGAGGGAAAACTATCAGCAGCTTTGGTAGTTTGAGGAGAAGTATTAAGGGAATAATCGTGACAATGAGAACAGCTTAGAGGGAAGTAAGCAGAGTAGACGGTCTGCCCCTGATGAAAGACACGTTGCTGTTATCTGTGTTCATCCGCAGGATGCAGTGGGTGTGTTGTTTTAGTTACTGCAGAGGGCAGCTTGTATGACCTAGTCAGCATTGCCTTAGCACCTGAAGCTGTCTGTAATTTTCCATTGACTGAAATTTCACTATAGGCTGAGATAATGAGATCCATCTCTGCGGAGTCATCTGAAAAGCGGCAATATGTCAAGGACTTATACAGCATTATTCGAACCCCTCACGTATAAAAAGTCTCCCACAAAATCCCCGTGTGAATGAAATCCAGTAAAGCAATATACTAGCCTAAAAACAGCCTGGTTGTTTCCCCTTCCACTTGTGCCAATATATAAAAATCAATTTGTGAATATAATAGATATAATTTTCATTAAAAAGTAATTGACTTAGGGTGGCACGGTGCATGGCTCGGAGGGTAGCACTGTCCCTACACAACTTGGGGGTTTGATTCCTTTCCCTGCTCTGTCTGTGGAGTTAGCATTTTCCATCATTTTCATTTCATTTCATTTCATTTCATACCATTTTCCTTGGGCTTCCTTCAGGGCTGAAAAACAGTGGACTAGGTGAACCGGCATCTTTAAATCACTCATAGTATCCGGTTGTGTATTTCCTTCGACGGACACATACATGTTCTTTGTTGCAGCTGTCTGCTGCTCGGCAGAAACGCCATTTCATTTCATTTTTGTGAAATGATAATCAAGTGACTAGACGTGACTGGACTCGCACCCAGTCCATAGTATTCCCTTGCCTTGTGCCCTGTGGGACCTTTTACTGGATAAGCAATTGTAGATAGATGGATGGAATAACTCGGCTACATTTTAAAAGAGATTAGGTGCCATAATTCCTAGAAACACGTTTGCTATGACAGAGAACGGCAGGGATATCCATATAATCCAACACTTGAGACTCGAGTGCATAGTTTCGGAGTTTAATCAGCCGGGGGATTCTCTCTTCAAATACACTTTCATCTGCAAGCAGAAATTAGTTCATTACAGTGTGGAGGGAAATAGATTATATTTGGCTATTTAGGTGAACCGAAGCACAAATTAAGCCACATTTCTATTCAAACAGCACCTCTTTACTCAGCATACAGCCTTTCAGTCCGTATTTGCTCTTTATAGGCTGCCTGACCCAAAGCAAGTCTGAGTGTTCACGGAAACTCACTCTTTGAGGGGAATCGATTATAAAATATGTAATTTAGTGTGTTATCACACTTACTTGTGTAGGAATCCACACCACTAAATCTTGTGGGCAGCAGAAAGTATATTTTTGAGGAACTCGTAATCAGTGACATAGAAGAGAATTTGATATGGGGGGGGGGGGGGGGGTTCACAACTACCTCCTGGTCCCTAATCCCCTGCTTGTAATGGATTGAACATTAAAAATGATATAATGATATTTTCCAGGCATTTTGTTGAGGACTTGAAAGACTACATTTTTAAAGTAACATTCATAGGTTTTTTTTTTAAGCATTTGACTGTTCATAATTCCTTAATAAAATTTAGTTGCATTGAGAATTTAATGAAAGCAATTAAATAATTACATAACCTAGAAACCCAGCAGCGCTTTTTTAATGTTCTCCTTTTTTGTCAGGCCTGGGCACCAGGAACTGCCATATTAGCGTGACTGAACTGCTGCACAGGACACTAATCGGGTCCAGATACCTTCAGGGTTCTGTTTGATTAGGAGCATTTATATTCTGTGAACTGATTGTTGCTTTTAAGATTAGGCTGTAGTGGACTTAATATTTAATATGTATTCTGTAGACAAAAACAAAATGTAAATACTTAATTTGTGGCCATATTTAAATGATGTATTTCATTACAGCCTATTTGGAACTAGGGTTTAAAAATTCTATGAATTTTTCTATGTATTCTATGTAATTCCCATGGAAAATTTCCAACTTGGAATACCACCTTAACTTCCCATGGAGTGGAAAGTTTCCTGAAATTTTCCGCCCCGTTGCAACCCTATTTGGAACAGGGTGATGGTGCACAAGTAGCATATGCCAGGAAGCCCAGTGTCCAATGCAGGTGACAGAAGCACAAGTAGTGGCAAAAGCATTTAAATTTTCAGTATAAACTTTCCAGATGTCATTGCTGATGTCATTATAACTGGGTGGCTGACCACTTATCTCCACTTACCCATTAAATTTAGATATTATTCATTCTGTATGTTT